CATCATTGGGGGGGGGAACTCCCTCTTCTTCTTGCTTGGTTCTGCTGCAGTCCGTTGCTCCGAGAGCTTAAACCATTTGCTTAATACCCCTCGTTCTCTCAGCCCCCCCTCCCTGCCAGAGACCCCTCCCCTCGCAGCCGCTGGGTGGGCTCTGAGGAGACTTTGCAAAATAGCCTCTTGCCTTTGAAGCCCGCCTGCTGTGGGGTGTGGCATGAGGAGGGGGAGCTGCCTCCAAAGGGCAGCCAAAGTCCTGGGCAGATGGTGCCAGCCAGCCCTGCCCCTTCTCCGGACCCAGAGCTGTGCTGCCAGCTCAGCTGGACCCACGGCAGAGGCAGAAGGGAGGCAGGGGGGGCTCCTGCGAGGATGGATCGGGAAAGGGATCTGCAATTTCTTTCTCTCTTTGTGACGGTGGGAAGTGAGCCGAGGCCTCCTGCTTACAGTTCACACGCCCTGCAAAGCCCCCCCATTCCAGAGTCGATGACTGGGGGGGGGACAGAGGGGGGGGGCTGGATGGTTTGGGTAGAATTAGTTCCTTCAATGGCCATCAAATACAACGCTGGACAACCATTTTTCTCAACGGTTTTGCTTCCCGGAAAACTTTTGCTGGTCGTGACAGACCCCTTCAAACACACACATAACTTTAGGATGATTTATCACCTAGGAATGTTGAGAAATACAAAATCAGCTTTTAATGAGTATAATGTATTTAACCTCATAAATGTTTCCGACACTCTGCCTGAGCTCAAGGGGGCCAAAAGAAAAGGAAGGAATAGGAAGGAAGGAAGGAAAAGAAAGAGGAAAGAAGGGGAAAGAAGAAGAAACACACGCACTGGGCACCACTGTTGTGTAATAAATTATGGGGGGGGCTACAGTCACAGCCTGAGTTTAGCAAAGCGTGGTGGGTGCTTAAGTATTATGTCAATTTGCAAACTGCCTATCCCAGGGGGGGCTCTGAGCAGTGGACACAAACAGAACAAAATCACCCAAACCAGTAAAAACCATGAAATCAATCGATATAAAAGCTATGAAATGCCCCATAATCCGAGGGAGAGCCCCCTCGGTTGCCCTGAGGATAGTTAATGTCCCACTATCCCTTCCCTTTAGGAACGGTTCTTGGGATCAGCTCCGGCATCTCCTCAGCCTCCATCAGCCGGATCTTTCATTGATCTGAGCTGATCTATATAATCGGTTTCCCAGCTACCCCCGCCTGCCTGCCTGCTGGCCTTCCGCCTTGGAAAGGCAGCCCTGGTGCCAGGGTCCAATGAGGCAACCGGAGCCGTGGGGCAGAGGCTTCGCTGGCCTAGGAGCCCTCCTGCTGAGTGGGCAGCCGGGGGGGGGGGCTCCGTTCTCCATCCGGGGCTTTGAGGAAGAAGTGGGAGGAATATTGATCAGATCTGCAGAAAACCCGATGATGGTCTCGAAGGGGGGTGGGGGAAGCATCCACACTCTCCATAGCGTTAAGGGAGGGGTTTGGAAACGTAGCCAAGGACAATAACATTTACAGTCCAAAAGGTCATCTAGTCCAACCACTCCTTTGGCATCCGTGGAGGGCCTGGTGCCAGATCTCCTGGGCAAACTCCTCCTCCTGTCTGCCCCCCTTCCAGTTTCTCTCCACCCCTTTTTGAAATGCAGCGGAAGAAACAGACGCAGCACCTGAAAGGTGGCCTAAATGGCCCTGCCAGGTGAGCCTCCTTCAACATCCAAGAAAGGAAACCCCCCAACTCCATTTCATTAGAGAAAAGGCACTTTTGCTGGATATGAAATGAAAACTGTGAAAAAAGATCTTGTACGTATTGAAAGTTTACCCAAATCCCTCCCCCCCAGATACCCCGACCCAATGGCCAGTCTCCAGCCCCCGAGGGGGTCACGTGGGGCGCATCTACAGGTGGCCTCATCCAGCTGGTATGCAGAGACGGTTGGCCTTGACCAAACCCAAACAGGAGCCTCCAGCAGCCACAGGAGGGGAGGAGAACAAAACTCCCTTTTCCGCGATATCCCCACCTGCCCAATTCTCCTCCCAAACCCCATGGACCCCCTCCCTCCCCGTTACTATGGCAGCCAATAGCAAGCAAGTGAGACAGGAGCTGACAGGCAGGTTCTCTCCAGTCAACCCGTCCAGGAGGCTTCTGGGGATGCAGATCTCCATCGCTTTGGCCTCTCCAGCTGCTGCCTGCTCTGGTTCTGCTGATGTCGGCTGGTCCTCTTGTGCTACCCACACCCGATCTTCCCAGGCCTCTGCTGACACCTGCAGTTCCCCCCCCCCAGAAGATGCAGGGGTGTAGCCTTGTCGCAGCCCAGCACCATCCTGTGGGTTCCGACAGGATTGTTGGCCCATTCTGTACTTGTGGGATTTTTCTCCGTTCTTCTCAGCGTGGCCTCCTCTCCAAACCTTGCATTTCCAGCCGTCCTTCGGTTGGTTTATGAAGATGGGGAGCAGAACTGAGCAGAGAAGAGACTCCCGGAGGCCCCCGCTGGCTCTTCCCTTCACGATGGGGCAGAAGCGTTTCCAGGCAGACTTTTCAGGCCTTTGCCCAACCAACGGGGGACTAAAACCTATGAAGAGCGGTTGCTGGAACAGGGTAGGAAAAGAAGGACCAGCGGTGATGGCACCTTCCAATATTTGAAGGGCTGCCCCAAAGAAGAAGGAGGAGGAGGAGGAGGAGGAGGAAGAAGAAGGAAGAGAAGAAGAAGAAGGAGAAGAAGAAGAAGAAGAAGAAGAAGAAGAAGAAGAAGAAGAAG